AAACCAAAGAGCAACCAGAGCAGGGTAATGAACCATCACCTGTCTTGCTGGTTCGACAGGAAGGAAATAAGGAAGTGCTCCCTCTATAATCCACCGGTTTGTTCCCAAACTCCCTCTCGATTCCTTATCAACTTGGGTATAAGCGATTTGGCCCGAACATGGTCCAGGGAATCCCTTGGCTATTGCTTGCGGAAAATGCACATCAACCTAAGAATTCAAGGTTCAAACCATTACTCTCTTTCTGGCAATCGTGGGATCTGAAAATGAAGATTTTGCGCGACTACTTTTACTTTGAGAGCGTCCCCTCATGGGGGGTGGGTTTTTGAAACCCATAAGATTCACCAATTTCAACCCCACGGGCAATGCACTTTTAGTGCTGTGGACTTGGATGTTGTGCCCAAATTGCTTGTCTGTTTCAACAGGCTTCATCAAACAATTGGACCTTGAACATTGGCCCATAATTGCTTGTCAATTGCACTATCAGACAGTGTTGAAGGAAAGGCCAGTCGCCAAAAGTGTCTTGTCTATTACCAGCGTAGCTGCAATTCTCTTAGCATCTTTCTTGTCATTCCTGTTGCAGTGTGTAGCATTAGAACTGAATTAGAATTCAAATAGAACCCTATATGATTATGGAAAGACAAGTTGGTCGTTTATTCTGAATTGCCTGCCCCATAAAAGGAGAGACCAACCAATAGAAACTCAAAGGAAATGCAACGTCATATTTTTTGGTTTACAAGTTTTAGATTGCACCGCTTTAGGTTGAATCAAATCTTGATTAGCCTTCAAGTTAACACAGTATGTTGAATTAGAATTTAAATAGGTGTCCCTTCCTAAGTAGGATTTTAATCGGGAATCTGCTGAAGAAAGAGAAGCTTGTTGTTTCTTCTAATTTGCAACGCAAGCCTCTAAAAAAAACTAGAAAAACCCATGGCAAAAAGCTGATTGCATTGCAATTTGTTTACAAGGTTTACATTGCGAGGAATTACTTACATTCCAATTGGATTTCGATCAGACTTCACTTCATGCTCTCGAATTAGATATTAGTCAGCACTTCCCTTCCAAGCAATGGTTCCGATTAGAAGGGTAACTGTTAGTTTTAGATGTGTGTCATGGGGTCTTATCCAAATAATATTTATTTGCTTTATTATTTTTAATTGAGTACATTGTAAACAGGAATTTCATCCAAATCTAAATGGGAATTTCTTTCCAAATATGATCTTTATTTGACATGTTTATTGCTAGAATTTAGTAAGGAAAGACAAGCTGGTAGTTTCTTCTAACTGATTCAATTTGTGTTACTGTTTTGAACCAGAATAAAGATGGATTTCCTTTCCAAGTATCTAAGACTGTAATTGGATTTTAGCTGTAATCTGGATAATATGGCAAGGAAAGACAAGCTGGCTACTTCTTTCAATTCATATGAATAGAATTCGGTTGCACTTAGCAAGTGAAATGCCCAGGCCGCGATGGCAAATGTTTCCTTCTTGCGGATGTTTGTTTCTTCTTGCTGACCCCAACCTCAAAACCAAGCAAACCTCGAGAAACCCCAAAAAAACAAAAACACCATTTCAGACCTTATGTATCCTTGCTGGCTGAGGTAGGGTCTGACAGTTCGGTTTTGTTTGCTCGAGGCCATTTCTTTTTAACAACAGACCCTAACTCAGCCAGCATGGATACATAGGGTCTGAAATTCTGTTTTTGTTTTTTTGGAAAACTCGAGGTTTTTTGGATTTTCTGGAAAAGTGTAAAAAACCTCGAGTTTTCAAAAAAAACAAAAAAAAAACAGACCCTATGTATCCATACTGGCTGAGTTAGAGTCTGAAATTTTGTTGTTTTTTGTTTTTTTGGAAAACTCGAGGTTTTTTTGGATTTTCTGGAAAAGTGTAAAAAACCTCGAGTTTTCCAAAAAAACCAAAAAAAACAAAATTTCAGACCCTATGTATCCATACTGGCTGAGTTAGGGTCTGATTTTTTTTATTTTTTTTGGAAAACTCGAGAGTTTTTTTTGGATTTTCTGGAAAAGTGTAAAAAACCTCGAGTTTTCAAAAAAAAAAAAAACAAAAAAAAAATTCAGACCCTATGTATCCATACTGGCTGAGTTAGGGTCTGAATTTTTGTTGTTTTGTGTTTTTTTGGAAAACTCGAGGTTTTTTTGGATTTTCTTGAAGCATCAAAGAAACATACCCCCAAAACTGCTAAATTTCATGCTTTTAAAAAACCCACCCCCCATGAGGGGCCCTTCTGTTTACTTTCCTATTGGGGAACCACCCACCCACCCGCCCCCCCCGCCGTCAACCATGATTGTTGGAAAATTGCCCTTATTTTCCTAACCAGGGAGTTGAAGCTCATGCATCAGTTGTGTTCGTTGGTCCCCCCCCCCCCCCCGAGAATCGGTCGGTGAGCTCGCAATAACATAAGGCACACTCGCACACATGATGCTCCTATACGACTTGGCTCGGCTTCACAGCAACCAGGTAACCTTCGAGTTCTATGGGCCCTGGTGATGCAGAAGCTATAGCAAGCTCCAGGGGTAACACGCGCTCCATGCGCCCTCGCGCAATCCGACCGCTCGAGGCGCCTCCACCTCCGCCTCGTCCGCCCGGCGCTGCTGCTGCCGCAACTGCTCCGCCTGCGCCTGGCGCGTCGGCCGTCGGCTTGGTCGGGTCGGCGGGTGGCAGTGCGAACCGCAAAAGGTAACAGGAAGAACGAAGGACAATGACATGGCTGTGGGTCAAAAATGTGTGCCCCAAATGGAACCCTGATAAATGGAAATAAGGACTAAACCTGCGGTCTTCTAGTGGTTGAATTTTGACCCATAGTCAAATAAACAAGTATGTGAAACCAAACAACGAGAAAAAACGATGCCATGAGATCAGTCCTTGTTGCCAGGTTGAGAAATAGCCGGCCGCCTCCTTTGATGGACGGAGATCACCTACCACTTCCTGGTACTATATGTTCGAAAGAGGCCGCAAACACGGCGGCTTCCTTTTGGCTGGTCTTTAAACGGACCCTCAAAACGAACACACACACACACACAGATCCTGGTGTTGGTTTGGCTCGCAAGCTTGGACGACGTTCCAACTGACTCACAGATTCCGACGAACTGGGCGTCGCAAAGGCGTCGTTGCGGAGCCATCTTCCGAAAGGACCTAAGGGGAACAAAGATCTAAGGACCTGGCGAGTCGCTGGTGGCGAGCCAGTTTGACACATAGGTCACTCGGAAGGGGACGGTTCAAAGATGGACCATGCCCGAGCCAGAAATTCCACGCCCGAAAATGGAACCCCCTCCGAGGTATGTCAAGCTCAATCCTTGTGAACTGGGTTGCCACTAGATCTGCCCCCTTCCCGAAGGGTTGGTTGGCCGCATACCCAGCATCACTGGCCTCGCTCGGACTAGGGCTGCCTATTCGCTTGATTTGGTGGTAGTTCAGAGTTGCTCGGGGCTGGTTTCGGGTAAGTGTTGGGCTTGCTGAGGCTTTAATGAGGGCGGGTCTTGGGTTTGTTTGGGGTTCATTTAGGCTCGATGCTGTTGGGAGGGTTTAAGGTTGACTTTGAGTCGGTTTGGGTTGGCTTGGAGCTGATTTGCGCTAGGTGTGCGGCTGGTTTAGCAGTGGCTTTAGGGTTGCTTCAGGGATGTGGCTGCGCGAGTTTTGGGCTAGTTTTGGTGGTTTGGGGCAAGCCAACCCAAACCGACTCAAAGTCAACCTTAAACCCTCCCAACAGCATCCTGGATATCAGCCCTTTGCCGAGTCTAAATGAACCCCAAACAAACCCAAGACCCGCCCTCATTAAAGCCTCAGCAAGCCCAACACTTACCCGAAGCCAGCCCCGAGCAACTCTGAACTACCACCAAATCAAAGCGAGGCAGCCCTAGTCCGAACGAGGCCAGTGATGCTGGGTATGCGGCCGGTCATGCCCGAGCAACTCTGGCCAATACGCAACCCTGACACCAAGTAGCCAGGGATGCTGGGGATGCGGCCAACCAACCAACCAACCAACCAACCAACCAACCAACCAACCAACCAACCAACCAACCAACCAACCAACCAACCAACCAGTCTCCTGGCCGGGGCTAAACCCCACACCGGGCCTACCAACAAAAAACGGCTGTGATCATCAAAACCTGGTGGGCAGTCTGCCATGTAGGCGAACATATCCATACCTTACTCCTCACCTGAGTGGATGGCCAAAAAAACAAGTCCAAGCGTGTTGCCCAACGGGTCCAAACCCAAGTGGCCCAAGTGACCAAAGTCCAACTCGGGGGGTTTGAGGTGGGGTCGTGGCTCCATCGGCTTGGACCGGCCTCGAAAGCCTGGAGCTGGCGCGAGGTCTCTTGGGACTCCTGGAGGCATTTCTGCGCTTTGGCTTTGCGGCTTTCTGGATCCACCCCTGGCTATCGAAAAAAGGTTCGCAAGGAGTAGAACAGGAGGAGGGAGGAAGAACGGGCGTCAACAGAAAGTACAAGTTTCCACTGCTAGGTGGCGATCCTCTTTCCAACAATCATGGAAGCTGCCAGGCTCTGGAAGACTTGAAAGGACCGCTTGGGGTCCCCTTCCATTGTTGGAGAAGGGTGGGACCAAACTGGAGCCAGGTTGGCTCCCCTTCCAATGGCTGTTTGAACCAACTTTGAGCCACAACCAATGTGTCAAACCAGGACCCCTTCGGGGACCACTGAAGAGGATGTCCCAAGTGAAAAACTTGTCAAACATGCGGGTTGCAAAAAGAATGTTTGCCTTCTTGCAAGCCTACTTGGATAACTTTGGCAAGTCCCAAAACCGCTCCTCATGTGGCCAACCCACCACAGCCAAGAATCCCAAACGGCCACAAAATGAACTTGGTTTCGGAACTCTTTCAGAAGAGGCAACCCCCACAAAACCTTTCGGGCTTCCGAAAGATCGATCGGCGCTTGTTCTTTGGCTCTGGGCTATGGAAGCTATAGAATTACACACATTAGTCTCCCCTTTGCGGTCAAGTATCCCACTCCCCATTCGAATGATTTTGGCCTCTATTGTCTTGAAGTGGCAACCCTGCAATCCGCGTATGGGGATCAGGTGCTTGGGACCCCGGACAAAAACTTTGTGCAAACATGGCTTTCCACGTGGGCATGCATTCGAGGCGCCTTCTAAATAGGATGAGTATGATCCTCAGGTTGCCTATCACTGTGTCGATTCTTGCACGTTCATCCGAGTCTTTCGACCCTTTTTGCGGGGAAACGATTCATTTCAAGGGTAAGCCTCTACTCATTGCGGTCTTCGGGTTGGGGCCTCACAGGAGCACGTGGTTTCGGTCTCACCGGCACACGTGGACACTCCAGCCGTTTCTGGTCTCACAGAAGCATGTGGTCGCTCAAAGTACTGCGCCTGCCACGAAATCCAGCCCCAAATCTGCGCTCTCGCAGGCTGCTTCACAAGCGTGCGCGTGCTAGTTTAGCGCGCGGGCGCAGCTTTTCAAGCGTCGGAGCACGCAGCGGCTCGGGTCTCACCACGTGAGCGCTCCAAACCACTCAAAATAGCGTGCCTGCTGAGAAATCCAGCTCCAAAACCCTGGCTTCAACTGCACTCATGCAGGTCGCTTCACAAGCATGCGCGTGCTAGTTTTGCGCGCGGGCGCAGCTTTTCAAGCGTCGGAGCACGCAGCGGCTCGGGTCTCACAGGAGCACGTGAACGCTCCAAGTCACTCAAAACAGCGCGCCTGCCACGAACCCCAGCTGCAAAACCCACGCGGAACCTGGTTTCGACCGCACTCTTGCAGGTCGCTTCACAAGCATACGCGTGCCAATTAACGCGCGGGCGCAGCTTTTGACGCAGCGGCTCGGGGGGGCGCGTGCGGGGGGGCGCGTGCCGGGGGGGGCGCGTCTGAAAGCTTTCTTTTCAATTCTCTGTGTTTCCCGCAAGTCTCTAAATCTATTTTGCCGCTGTTTACCTTCTTTGGGACTCCAGCGCGGGAGCCGAGCCAGCGCTTCCTTGTGGGCGGGAGGGGGGGGTTGAAGGGGGGGGGATGGTAAGCACACCCGCTCAAGTGCGCCCGCTCAGCACTGCATCCACGCACGCAAAAGAGGAAGCGCGCCTGCTCAAGCGCACCTGCTCAGCACTGCATCCACGCATGCGGGGGAGGGGGTGGGGCGGGGGAGGGGGTGGGGGGCGGGGGGGGAGATGGTAAGCACACCCGCTCAAGTGCACCCGCTCTGCATCCATGCGAAAGAGGAAGCGCACCTTCTCAAGGGCACCGGAGCACTGCATCCACACATGCGGGGGGGGGTTGGGGGAGGGCGGGGGGGGGGGATGGTAAGCACACCCGCTCAAGTGCACCCGCTCAGCACTGCATCCACGCACGCGAAAGAGGAAGCGCGCCTGCTCAAGCGCGCCCGCTCAGCACTGCATCCACGCATGCGGCACACCCGCTCAAGTGCACCCGCTCAGCACTGCATCCACGCACGCGAAAGAGGAAGCGCACCTGCTCAAGCGCGCCCGCTCAGCACTGCATCCACGCATGCGGGGGGGGGGGTGGGGAGGGGGGGATGGTAAGCACACCCGCTCAAGTGCGCCCGCTCAGCACTGCGTCCACGCACGCGAAAGAGGAAGCGCACCTGCTCAAGCGCACCCGCTCAGCACTGCATCCACGCATGCGAAATATGCGAAATAGTAAGCACACCCGCTCTCGCATAGACAGGACTCGCACCAAAGCGCTGGGGTATCAGTATATACGCTACTAGTGCGGTTTTGCTTACATGCGCGTGCGAGGCTCACGTGCTTTGCCTTTTTGGGGGACATGCGCGGTATCACATGCGCCGGCGAGACCCACGCAAAACTTGCCCAAAGTACCGCGCCTACCACGAAACAGCCCTCTACATGCGCGGGCGAGACCAAATTTACGTGCGCCTGCGAGCCGAAAACCACGTGCGCTCGCGAGGCCGTGACCCTTCTGGACTCATCCGATGGATAAGACCAGTGCACCTGCTTATCACCTCTTGTCACCAGCAAAATGTGGACCCTTATCAGGTAGGACAGGTCCAGGTAGTCCGTCTGGTCAGTGAAATGCGGACCATGATGTAAAATGTAATGCCCGTAAAGTTTACATGAGCCCGTGAATTAAGGGATCCCCAAGTAAGGGTCCTTCATCATGGGTCTTTTTCACCCAGGTGAGCTCCCAAATTTGGGTCAACCCTTAAGGAAAACCGAAGGAAACCAACCATTCAATGTTCCCGAGTTGCTTGATGATCGTTTTTGTGCTCCTCTCACGACCCTCGTGAACTTCAGTCGAGCTCTGAGCCATGGGTCAAAGATACTCAGGTTCACCCCAGAGGACATGGGCTGTCGCTCAAAAACAGGTTCCCAACATGGGTTGCCGTGCTAAATGGAAACAAGGACTAAAACCTGCGGTTTCCTGGGTGGTCCATTTTGACCCATACCCCGCATGGAAAAATTGACTGAGTCTCGGGTGTTTGATTTGAATGTTCGCGAGTCCCCATGTCCAACCATGGCCTGCACATTTTGACCGAACCTCGTTTAAGATGGTGTACCCTTGATTGGGAGGCTTTAAAGGGGAGCAACAAGGAAAAAGCCCGTTACTGCCCGGTTTTGAAGTCTAACAACCTCGCAAAAACAAAAAACATGTTTGAAGTCTGACAACCTCGCAATAAAAACTTGTTGCCATGTCTCCTCATGGCAGAGCTGCTGCAGTTTTTGCACCTCCCGCCGCACGGTCTGCTCATCCGACACCTGGTGCTTCGTTCTTCCAATGACGTGCTTTCGGTGCCGCGTCGGTTTGACCCAAAAAGGAAGGACTTAAAATACAAAAGGGTAGATGGGTTGGCCGCTGCTCTTCGCCAAAGCGGTGGAACAACTGCTCGCGTCTAGTCCCACAACCAACGTGGAAGTGCGCTAGCCCCGCTCTGATTCTCCTTCCGGATGTCACGACATCTTGGGATGGTACTACACAGCACAGGGGCCAGCTGGTTTGACCAAAAGTCGACAGCCAGTCAAGACTTTCGTGCAATGTGTTGCCTACCCCTGGCCCACAAGAGATGGTCGTTTTACGTGCTTGGTCCGGGGGCTAAATTGATCAATCTGTGTGTCTAACATGATGTTTCAGCTTGTCTTCCGGCAGGTGTTTGGCTCAAGAAGTAAGCGGTTCTAACCCACTCGTCAGCTCCAGTTATGACCCGGACTCACCAGCTGGCCAAACACCGTCAGGGTTGCTCAAAGGGTGAGGAGACAAATCCTGTGAGCAGAAATGAGCCATTTTGAGGAAGACCACATCATAATGTGGCCCAAACGGGTACAAGTTGCTCTCATCACCCAAGAGGACCCCCCATTGGGCCAGACTTGAACCCCCTGCAAAAAGGGGAAAATGATGGAAAATGACTTAGACCGGTTGCTTGTTGCTGGCTGAAGAGAAAATGATGGAACACCAAAGGGCCACATACAAAAAGCTTAGCTCAGTCTGGTTTCCGAAATTCCCCAAAACCTTGCCCTTTAGGCATCGCCAAGGGAAACTCGCCTATGGGCGCAACAAGAGGTGATGTTTGAAACCACCAGGAGGGAAATGGGTGCGCCTTTTTGTTAAAGGTACCCTTGGATTGTTTCAAAGGGAAACGAACAGTGAAACCACCCCTTCTATTTGTGCGCTTTTTTTTTGGGGGGAGGGGGATGCCGATGCCGTTTTTTGTAGACAAACCCAAACAGAGCCGGACATCAAGAGAGGGGTACCCCCAAGAACGCTGATCTCCTGTGGGTTTCCAAATTTCTTTTCCAACCCCCGCCCCCAACCGCACGTGCCAAAGACACCGACTCGCTCAAGGGCCTTGCGGTCCAGCTCTTGCTTCCAGACCTTCTGCTCACGCAAGGCCTGCGCCTCCCGCTCCTCCGAAGCGGTGGCCATGTTCACCGCGTCGATCGTGGTAAGCAAGGGATCCCAGAAGGAAACTCGACCGCAGAAAGGCGTGTTTTCGGCTGGTCTTTGGGTTTGTAGACATTGTTCCGGTTTCTGAGATGCCGCAAAAAAAGGCAAGCGAAACGCGGCAGATCGAGAGCAATCAGGAATCCTTTCTAAGCCAAAGGGCTCAAATGGCAGCGGGTCCAGAATGACCCACAAACCCCCCGTGGACCGACCCGGTGGATTCCATGCTGCTCGGGTTTGTGCACATCCTTCCCCGACAAAGAGTTGAGCAATGCCCTCACCCAATCCTCCATTACGCTGAGTTTCATATTCAGTTTATCAAGTACAAAGCTGGAGGAGACGCCAGGTTGGTCGCATGTTGGCCAAAGGGTTCTTGACCCACCCGCCGAGTCACGCTTGATTCGCACCTTTGAGGCCACCGTTTTGCCAGTGAAGGCTTCCTTGTTGGGGGTTGAGCCCTTTTCTCTTAGGTTGGTGTTCATCATCAGCGTCCCGTAGATTCAAGGACGACAATCCTTCTGTAGCAAGTCGAACGCACAGACATGACCAAGCGTGGGTGGTGAGCCACAAGCAAGTCCGGGTTTGAAGGATTGGTGGGAGGACAGGTCCATTTCTGTGCTGCTGTTGCCCAGCTCCAATGAATATGTTGTTGGTGAGTGAGGAATCACACGTGGTTTCCCCAAAAAGTTCTGATGGTTAAAGATCAAACCCATATCCGCGTGTTCTATCTCCGTGAGTTCTTCTAGTCCTCTGCTTGGCTGCTGAACGACAAGTCTTCCGCAGGTCCAGTTGGCATGGGTTCTGACGAAGCCGCCAACCAGCAACCCGGCTTGGGCAATACTTGTTTTGTCTAAGGATCTGGCCCCTCTCAAAACCCGTTTGTTTCTTTTTAGGGATTCTGCAGCCAAAAGGCGTGAAAGCGAAAGGGGTGGTTTGCGAGTGGATACACTGGCTGGAGCCCGGCAAACCTCCAATTTGGGCTTCTTTGCTCGTTGGTGTGGGGTACATTTGCCATCCCCTGGTCCGTTGCTCATTGAAAGACAGCCAGCTCAGCGCGTTTGCAGGGGTAACAGCCCAAGCAAGGATAAGCTGCACTGGCAAATAGACAAACACAGTGCCAAGCAGAATCACGCACAAAGGGCTTGGCAGCCAGGGAGCGAAGAGACCCTGAGCCCAGGCTCAAGGAGCCAAGGGGACCAGCCAAAAAAGCAACAGGTTGAATTCAAGCGGTACCCTCGAAAAAAAAATGCCCCATGGCCCATATCTCGGGGATGAAGCTAGGTCTCCACCACCCCAGAAAGCTTGTTCTCCGAGGGTGGCGGACCCAGGAATAGCAGAGGAGCTGAAAAACCCATGTACATCAAAGTATGTTTATCCAAATCCATTCAGCCCCCACAAAAAAGCTAACTTCTTGCTCCCACTGCAAGGGAAAATGCCGTCCCAAAAGAAAAAGCCTCGTTGAGTCCGGCAATGTAAACCTGCCCAGAGGACCTGGAGTTTTTGCAGGTTCACCTTTTAGAACCTTCTGGATCAACCCAGGGAAACCGAGACCCAGCGCCGATTCGCCGATTCTCCTGCAGCTGTTCTTTGAGTCCGCGGGCACGGGTCTCCTGATCTTCCAGCCTCCGGTCGAGCGCAAGGTCGCGCGGCAGGAAGGCATCTAGACCTCTACTTGGTCCCACAGGCGCGGTGAAAATGACTTGTTCCCCACCCGACAGGAAGGGGTTGTTAGATTTTATGTTGGAATCCGCGTTTGCGATGCTTCTACACCACGCCCCCACCCAGTATCCCGCCAGAGCAGCTCGCCAGTGGATCCCGCCAAGTATCCCGCCAGAGCAGCTTGCCAGTGGATCCCGCCAAGTATCCCGCCAGAGCTGCTCGCCAGTTGATCCCGCCCAGTCCCGCCAGCGGCTTGCCGGTGGATCCCGCCGAGTATCCCGCCAGCGGCTTGGCAGTGAATCTCGCCGAGTATCCCACCAGACCGGCTCGCCAGTGATTCTGCCGAGTATCCTGCCAAAGCAGCTGGCCAGTGGATCCCGCCCAGTATCCCGCCAGAGCTGCTCGCCAGTGAATCCCGCCAAGTATCCCGCCAGAGCGGCTCGCCAGTCAATCCCGCCAAGTATCCCGCCCGCCAGAGCAGCCCGCCAGTAAATCCCGCCGAGTATCCCGCCAGAGCTGCTCGCAAGTGCATCCCGCCCAGTATACCGCCAGAGCTGCTCGCCAGTGGATCCCGCGCAGTATCCTGCCAGAGCGGCTCGCCAGTGGATCTTGCCGAGTATCCTACCAAAGCGGCTCGCCAGTGGATTGTGCCGAGTATCCTGCCAAAGCAGCTGGCCAGTGGATCCCGCCCAGTATCCCGCCAAAGCTGCTCGGCAGTGGGTCCCGCCGAGTATCCCGCCAGAGCGGCTCGCCAACACCGAGTATCCCACTGAGTATCCCAGGCAAGCTCGCCAATAGATCCCGCCAAATGTTTCGCTAGAGTAGCTCGTCAGTGGATCCCGCCGAGTATCCCACCAGAGCAGCTGGCCAGTGGATTCCGCCCAGTGTCCCGCCAGAGCTGCTTGCCAGTGAGTATCAGCGCCTCGCCAGTGAATCCCGCCGAGTATCCCGCCAGAGCGGCTCGCCAGTGGATCCTGCCGAGTATCGCACCAGAGCAGCCCGCCGGTGCATCGCCGAGTGTCCGGCTGAGTATCCCAGAGTAGCTCACCAGTGGATCCCGCCAAGTAACGCATCCCGCCAGAGCAGCGTCAGTCGCTGCCAATGGATCCCGCCAAGTATCCCGCTGAGTATCCCAGAGTAGCCCGCCAGTGGATCCCGCCGAGTATCCCGCCAGATTAGCTGGATCCCGCCGAGTGTCTTTTCAGAACAGCCCGTGGATCCCGCCGAGTTTCCCGCTAACTATCCCAGAGTAGCTCGCCAGCATCCCGCTGAGCGTCGCTTGCCGGTGGATCTTGCCGAGTATCCGGCCAGCATCAAGCCGGAGCTCGCCAGTACTCGCCAGTGGATCCCGCCAGTATCCCGCCAGAGCAGCTCGCCAGTCTGGTTTTGCTTAATGTCCCGCCTGGCGCACAGTGGGGCTTACATTTCCATGTTGGCGCTTTTGTGTTTGGAGTGTACCTTCAGAATCCGAAAGGGTGATCGAAGCGAAGTAACTTTTCAAGAGGACATGGGAAATGAGAGAGTCCCCTGTTTGTTGTCATTTCCATTTGGTGAAGTCTTCCATCAGCATCTAAAATGGAGCATAGACTACCGGATACTTTGACCCAGCCACATTTCACCCATAAAAATGACACCTACAAGGATCAAACAGACACTTTCCAGTAACCCAGCTTAACAACTCCCTAGTTCCCAATGTTTCACATCATTAATGAGCAAGATAGCTTCTTTTGAACATCACCCCTCGAAGTGCCTCCGAGGCAAACTTGCCGAACATTCGGGACCCCAAGCAACTATGTCTGAATTGGCTTAAAGGGCAATGTCGGGTGGGGCTGGTTGTGGCGGTGGCGGTGGCGGCGGCGGCTGCGGCGGTTGGCGGATGTCCTGAAAGCCTCAACTCGCCCTCAACCCAACCTCAACCAAGGTTCATGTAGCCAGTGGCTTGCGCTCAAAGCTGAGAGCTCCCAGATCCCACTCTGGTGAACCACTGCATCATGGCTCCCTCACTGAGGACCACCTGGGGCACATGTGCCTCACCTTGCCATTCGGGTAACAGGGCTCGCAGTTCGCGTCAAATAGGGTCAAACCTCCAAGTATGATCTAGTTTACATTTGCAGAGACACAGAGTTGGGTGTCTTTTTTCGCTGGGGGCCGTTTGGATACAAACCACAAGGAAACCCGATCATGTTTCGGCCCAATGTTGGCACACAGCTACCCGCTGGCTCCCTTCCCCTTGCTTCCCCGTTGGCTCACTGGAGAAGCGGCGAATCCGAGGCCGGCCTTTGACCCCGTAGAAACTTGTCACCAGAGAAACAACTGGCAACCGAAGAGCTGGTGGCTTTCCAGAGCCAAGGAGCAACCGAACGGCTGATCTATTGCTTGACCAAAAAGTAAAATCATCCAAGAGAATGGTTTCCACAGGGCTCCCTATAGTTCCTGATTTTTATCGCCCAGAAGAACTTTGTTCCAATGGCCCAAGGCTGCGGCTGGAATTGGAGCCGGGATGCCTGGCAGGATCGCCGCAACTTTCTTCCGGTCGCTAAGACCCGAAAGGGAAAGAACAAAGGACAACAGCAATCTTCTCCTTTGGTAACGTTCAGGCAACCCTGCAGACAAGACAAATTGGGTTACCTAGCATGTGTCCACTTAAGGCCATCAAGAATGCAGCTACATGAAACGGCAATGGTCCCTTGTCCAGCCACTGCGTTCGAAGGGAAGATGCCAAAAGCCTTTGGAACGCTTTCAGACACTGACACTTCACTACTACTACTACTACTACTACTACTACTACTACTACTACTACTACTACTACTACTACTACTACTACTACTACTACTACTACTTTCTTCTACTACTACTACTACTACCACCACTACTACTGCTACTACTGCTACTACTGCTACTACTGCTACTACTACCACCACCACCACTACTACTTTTACTACCCGCAGCACCGACTTTGTTGCACTTTCTGGTCTCTTTCCGGCCTTGCATCAGGTTTAGGGAGTAGCTTGCCCTCAAACCCCCCGTTTAGGGCTTTGCCTTCATGTAGGGTTCAGGTTTGGGTCTAACTTGCCCTCAAACCACCCGTTTAGGGTTTAGTTTCGGGCTCTTGCGGTTCAGGTTCACGCCTAGGGTTCAGGTGTAAGGCCCTCAAACCACCTGTGTAGGGTTTAGTCTTGGGGTCTAACTTGCCCTCAAGCCCTCACTTTTAGGGTTCGAGGTTTAGGGGTTTTCTTGCCCTCAACCACCCGCCAAACCCTCACTTTAGGGTGTGGTGTCACCTTTTAAGTTAGGGTAGTCCAAAAAAATGCACATAGTGACTCATCGAAAAGCCGCACCCTGCGCAGTTGCGCGCATCGGCGAAGGCTTGCCGATGTTCTAAGGGCAGACCGTTCGATATCAGGTGCGGGTGCTAAAACGCTGGCAGGCGCAAGGGAATCTGAGCACGTTGAGGCACCCCGGAAGAGAGCCTCCGGGCAAACCACAAGTGCTGGCCGTACTACTACTACTACTACTACTACTACTACTACTACTACTACTACTACTACTACTACTACTACTACTACTACTACTACTACTACTACCACCACCACCACCACCACCACCACCACCACTACTACTACTACTACTGCTACCACCACCACCACCACCACCACCACCACCACCACCACTACTACTACTACTACTACGACTACTACTACTACTACTACTACTACTACTACTGCCTACCAACCAACCAACCAACCAACCAACCAACCAACCAACCAACCAACCAACCAACCAACCAACCAACCAACCAACCAACCAAACGCAAGCACGCAAGCACCAAACGCAAGCACGCAAGCACGCAAGCACGCAAGCACGCAAGCACGCAAGCACGCAAGCACGCAAGCACGCAAGCACGCAAGCACGCAAGCACGCAGCAAGCAGCAAGCAAGCAAGCAAGCAAGCAAGCAAGCAAGCAAGCAAGCAAGCGCAAGCAAGCAAGCAAGCAAGCAAGCAAGCAAGCAAGCAAGCAAGCAAGCAAGCAAGCAAGCAAGCAAGCAAGCAAGCAAGCAAGCAAGCAAGCAAGCAAGCAAGCAAGCAAGCAAGCAAGCAAGCAAGCAAGCAAGCAAGCAAGCAAGCAAGCAAGCAAGCAAGCAAGCAAGCAAGCAAGCAAGCAAGCAAGCAAGCAAGCAAGCAAGCAAGCAAGCAAGCAAGCAAGCAAGCAAGCAAGCAAGCAAGCAAGCAAGCAAGCAAGCAAGCACACAAACAAACAAACAAACAAACAAACAAACAAACAAACAAACAAATTGCTTCGCTTCGAGCAATCCCCACCCTCCACACTCACGAGCTTACGACCGTGAACACGCTTCTGTGAATTCAAGCACGGTTCTCGAGTGGCCTGGGGCCTATGACTGCTCAACAAGCTTTGCATTGAGAGCCATATCCACCCGTCTGTGTGTCAAACTCCACTTGTCTGCGAGCCGATCTCGAGAACTCAATCATCGGTTCCGTTAACAAAAGCCAAGCCCCTTCCAAAAAGAAACCCGACAGGGGATTAAACGAAGTTGCTTATTCACAGCCCAAAGCAGCACAAAAGCATCACCCTTTCGGAGCCTCAAGGTACACTCAAAACACAAAAGCGCCAACATGAAATGTAAGCCCAACTGTGCGCCGGGCCGGACGTTAAGCAAAACCAGACTGGCGAGCTGCTCTGGCGGGATACTGGCGGGATCCACTGGCCAATACTGGCGAGCTCCGGCTTGATGCTGGCCGGATACTCGGCAAGATCCACCGGCAAGCGATTCTCAGCGGGATGCTGGCGAGCTACTCTGAAATAGTTAGCGGGATACTCGGCGGGACCCACAGGCTGTTCTGAAAAGACACTCGGCGGGATCCAGCTAATCTGGTGGGATACTTGGCGGGATCCACTGGCGCTCTCACGAAATCGGCGGGATTCACTGGTGAGCCGCTCCGGCGGGACACTCACTGGCAAGCAGCTCTGGCGGGACACTGGGCGGAATCCACTGGCCTGGGATACTCGGCGGGATCCACTGACGAGCTACTCTGGCGGGATATTCGGCGGGATTTATTGGCGAGCTTCTCTGGGATACTCAGCGGGATACTCGGCGGGATCCACTGGCGGGCTGCTCTGGTGGGATACTTGGCGGGATCCGCTGGCAAGCCGCTCTGGCGGGATACTCGGCGGGATCCATTGGCGAGCCGCTCTGGCGGGATACTCGGCGGGACCCACTGGCGAGCAGCTCTGGTGGGATACTGGGCGGGCTCCACTGGCCAGCTGCTTTGGCAGGATACTCGGCAGAATCCACTGGCGAGCCGCTCTGGTAGGATACTCGGCGAGATCCACTGGCAAGCCGCTGGCGGGATACTCGGCGGGATCCACTGGCGAGCCGCTCTGGCAGGATACTGCGCGGGATCCACTGGCGAGCAGCTCTGGCGGGATACTGGGCGGGATGCACTGGCGAGCTGGCAAGCCGCTCTGGCGGGATACTCGGCGGGATCCATTGGCGAGCCGCTCTTGCGGGATACTCGGCGGGACCCACTGGCGAGCAGCTGTGGCGGGATACTGGGCGGGATCCACTGGCCAGCTGCTTTGGCAGGATACTCGGCAAAATTACTGGCAAGCCGCTCTGGCGGGATACTCGGCGGGATCCACTGGCAAGCCGCTGGCAGGATACTGCGCGGGATCCACTGGCGAGCCGCTCTGGCGGGATACTTGGCGAGATCCACTGGCGAGCTGCTGGGGGCGTGGTGTAGAAGCATCGCAAACGCGGATTCCAACATAAAATCTAACAACCCCTTCCTGTCGGGTGGGGAACAAGCAAGCAAGCAAGCAAGCAAGCAAGCAAGCAAGCAAGCAAACAAACAAGCAAGCAGGCAAGCAAGCAAGCAGGCAACCAAGCAAGCAAGCAAGCAAGCAACCAACCAACCAACCCACCCACCCACCAACCCACCAACCCACCAAGCCACCAAGCCACCAAGCCACCAAGCCACCAACCCACCAACCCACCAGCCCACCAGCCCACCAGCCCACCAACCCACCAACCCACCAACCCACCAACCCACCAACCCACCAACCCAGCAACCCACCAACCCACCAACCCACCAACCCACCACCAACCCACCAACCCACCAACCAACCACCCACCCACCCACCCACCCACCCACCCACCCACCCACCAACCAACCAACCAACCAACCAACCAACCAACCAACCAACCAACCAACCAACCAACCAACCAACCAACCAACCAAGGCAGCGGCAGCGGCAGCGGCAGAAGCAGCAGCTTCAACGGCAAATGCAGTACCAGCAGCGGGTTTGTAGCAGCAAACCACAGGCCCATCCAAGACAGCACGCAGCCCGCGCGGCTTTTGCAGCGATGCACATCAACCCGTGGGCCTCTGCCTCAAAGTCCTCGGCTTTGCGGCGCTCCGCCTGGGGAGTCCACAAGTTTACAGAGTAGAGCATAACTGTGGCTACCCTCCAATTGGTGGTTCGGTTGGATGGTTTGGACCCTAGGGCATCATACCTGGCCCATGTGCCTTCAAAGGTGCGGGTTCAAATCTCAAAACAACCAATCCAAAACTACATTATTTCTGATATCTAGTCGCTTCTGTTCGGATTTGAGCACAGGGGCCCTGCTAAAATTTCGACCCCCAGCCCGTTTTCCGGGCCGCTCACCTGACAGGAACGGTTTGGGCTTGAAAAAAGGTCTTCGACTCCCTTGGAAAAAGGCTCCCTGCCAAAAGCTGGCTTTTGCGAAGGGAAAAAGCTAAGTTCAGCAAAAGAAGAAAAACAACGTTCAGGTAAGCTAGCTAAGTCCCGACAATGGGGGCTGGGTTCCAATCAACGAGTTCCAGCTTGCATCTGGGTGGTCTTCAAATCGGGACCCCCCTCCCCGCAAAAAGTGTTGTTTCCCTGTGGTTGCCATTTAAAGCCACCCCGAAATAGGTACCCTCACCTCACTTGGGTTTGTCTCAAAAACGGGGAAGCCTTTCAATGAGCGCTTTCCTTTGGCTTCCCTTTCATCATCTGTCGCAGCACAGGAAAGTCTTCGCTTAGCGGTCTCCCTTTAACCAACCAAAGTCCTTTGGTTTCCCTTTACAAGCCACCCCCAACATGGGTACCTTCAACCCAAAGGACCACAGCCATGGGTCACTCTCTCCCGCTCGCGCCTCTACCGCCCGGCGGGCGCTTTCCAGCGCAACCTCCCGGCTCGCGGCCGCCTGAAGTGCGGAGGGAAGGCGAAATGTGATGACCTCCGCTCACTTGGACCCTTCTTCGTTTCGGGGAGGGGGGGTTCAAACTGGAGCGTCAAAGGAAACCCATCAGTTGGATGGCTCGTAGAGGCCCTTTCCGCATTCCCTGCGAACCAGCAAATTGTGTGGCTAGCCACATCCAAACCACACAATGAACCTCACTGGGATGCACCCTTTTTGGAGATCCCGAATTTTGCGAGCTCAGGGCTGAGCGTATGAAGGCTGGTACAGGGGCAACCCGAAAACTGCCGATAGAGCAGCAAGCTCTTGGGATTGATCAAGCAAGGGAATAAGTAAGGAACCCCTTCATTTAGCGCCATTTACCGCGGGTTTGGGGTTGAGTACTGGGCATCCAACGTCTCTGCAATTCCTACTTCGCACACCACGAACAAACGTTCGGGCCCTTCAGAACTTCAACTCGAGTCTCCCGGCGGAGCGCTCCATGTCCAGCTGGTCCTGCGTTCACAAGCAATAGGCACCTCGCTTCTTGAAGAAAGTCGGCCTTCCCCAAAAATCCCAAGTGGACAATCCAGAAACTCGGGAAGTAAGGTACAGTCAGCCAAGTAGCTGGGCCATTGGGTTCCAGGTGCTCATTGACTGTTACTCGCTCTACGCATGTCCCCGTCCAAAAATGGAAATCAATTTGATGACCGTGCTTCCGGAAATGTTCATTTCCCACCCAACGCAAAGCTGGAATTGCGAACCACCAGACTCCGGTTTGCCCTGTCGAGACCCCATGGGCTCTCAAATGCCCCAAACAAAGGTGCTCCTGTTCTCGTCCCTTGAAGTGGAAAAATAGAACAACAGCAACCCAAACAGCACCTGCACCAGCACCCAAACTGCACGCCCCAAGTCGGCAATCTCGCAAATCACTTTCCCCTCTTTATTGGAAGTCAGAACCCCTATAGCTTTCAGCTATCTGGGGAAACATTAAAAAGAAAAGAAGAAAACAACAGAGGAAAGAAGGACAAATATCCATTTCAGCAACTTGGAAGCAAGAAATGGACACGCCCCCAAAGCTTGCGTCTCAGCTTTCTCCTTCAGCTCGGCCTCCGCAAGGCGCGCCTTGGCTTTCTCCTGAGCGAGGATTCTGCCTTGGGTGCCTCTCACGCGAGCAGTGCCCCTCCCACCAATCAACGTGGAACCTGACGTCGGGGCTCCCTTTAAATGGAACATGGTTTCAAACCAATCCGAACCACCAACTAGGGATTGGACGCGTCCTTTTTCAGGACCCCCCCAACAAAAAGGTTGGCTTCCTTTTGTTCTCCCCTAAAACCCACCAAAAGCAGGGTACCCTCCCGCCAATGAACATGGAACCCGTTCTGGGGAGTCCTGGAAGGGTTCCATGCTCCTTTTAATCTATCTCAGGTTCCATGTTAATTTGTGCGAGGCACCCCCAACAACAAGACATTTGGGGGGGGGGACATTTGACCTTGGTGCGAAATCGGAAGATGACGAGACAAACCCTCCAACTGGTGGTTTCCGCTTTTCGGGCGGCTGATGAGTGTTCAACAAAAATGGTGGCTTCCGCTTTTTCGGGGACCCCTGGTTCATTCCATTCCTCATTCCCTACCGATTCCGCACCGATCGCCTGCGAGAGCTTAAGTCCTGCTCCAGCTGGCGCTCCATGCTGCGAGCGGCGCCTATGCGAGCGGTTCCCAGTGGGTTTCCATGGGAGGGCCCTATACCTTTGACAACTCCCCTAGGGGTAACTTCCATGTCCATTCTTTCCAGGGATCTTTCTTTCTAGAAAACCACCAAAACTCCTGGGGAAATGGCGACCGGTTTTTGAAAAGAACGATGGCTGCAAACTCCTAGAACTCTCGTGGGTTATATAGGTTTATGCAGGCAGGAAAAAAACACAAACATGAAACCGGGTAGAACCTGCCAGACCCGAGCTGACCGGGCCAGCGTGGCATGAGTTCTGGTTTCCTTCAGCTCCTTCCCTGGGGGTACATTTCCAGCGGGACAAACTACCCCTACTATTGCCCTCGCTTCCTCTTGGGGTTTCTCCAGTTGGAAGCTGGCTGGCTGTGGTCGGAGTCCGACGGGGTTGGGCAACCTTTGAGCCCATGACTACATGGGGGCCGAAAGGCTGGTATTGGGCAGGTGAGAGAATCAGATTTCCTCCAGGCAAGGACCTAACCACTGAAATCCGTCCATCAAAAAGTAGTTGACAGGTATCAAAAAAGAGACAGTCAGGCGAAAGGCCGTTTTGAGCAAGACACATATGAGCTACGGGCAAGTTACTTGTTCTCCAGAGGACATGGGAAATTTCGCCCTCGCGCCCAACCTCGTACCGCTATTGGGCATAGATCCCCACCTAAATGATGTCCACCTCACCAAACTACCATGTCCCTCAGAAAAAAAGCAAATGTGGATATCCCCAGCTCCGTAACGGCTCCCCAACAGGGGAAATATTTTAGGTTCTCAAATAGGAGAACCCGGATTTCCAAATATGGTTTGATCTATATAAACCAAACCCAAAAAAATGGCGCCCTCCGAGGAAAAAAAAGAAAGAAGAAGCAGCCCAACCCCGGCGCCCGGGAGAGCCTTGCACCTCCGCGATCTGACCTGTCGCTTCTTGGGACCCCTTGTAATTAACGGGAAAAATCAGCCCCGGTGGTATCCCCCCCAAGCCTTCAGCTGTTGGGAACACTAAACCTTGGGTATTTGGACTGACTAGCATACTCTCACCCGCTAACATGGCATAGATCCTTTTCAGATTCCCTTCCAGCCACCTTCCTGCAGGTCCATGTTTGGGGGAAGTAATCAGTTCCTTTCAGTCCCCAACAGGACTCATCACCGCTATGAATTCCCCAGAAGCTGTTTGTCCACAGGAACCCCAAAGGTGTACATGACATTTGCTTGTCGAATCTCCCCCCACAAGCCGTCTGGTCGCCTTGTCTAAGGGTTTTTTGAAGAGTTCCGTTTGAAGCGAACAGACACGAAACCAAAATGGCGGTCGTAAACTCAAAGGCAACATGGATCTCAATTATTTGTTGGGTGTCTTTTTTAAGGGTACCCTTTTTGGGTTGGTTTAAAGGAAACCCAAAAGAAACATCACCATTTGTTTTTTTTGGGGAGGGGCCTACCTCAAAAGACACACCCATATCAAGAAAAGAAAGACAGCAAGAAAGAAAGAAAGCAAGAAAGAAAGAAAGCAAGAAAGAAAGAAAGAAAGAAAGCAAGAAAGAAAGAAGCTAAAAAGGAAAAATAGATGGAAATATCTTTAGTTGTTTATTCTTCAAACTTCCGCCCACCAGCTTCGCCGGCTCTACTGGTAACAATCATAGAAGCGCACGGGAGTGCTTTGGAAGACTACCTGTACAATTCAATGCTTGGAACATGGGTCTACACCGGCAAACGCGGAAACTGAAAGATGGTCGACTGGTGCGGCGAGGAGTCACGGCATGCTCGGTTCTCGAAGTGGCCTGCCTTCTAGCTGCCGCCTCAAGGGCTCCAACTCCGCCTGGCGTTGAGAGGGTCGAGGGGCAACACCAACCAAGCATCAGGGTGTCGTGATTGTGGTTGGGCCCCTGTAAAGCCACCAAAAACCCAAGCACCCATCAGATTTTGAAATGCTTCCACGACCTCAAAGTATTGGACCCCCAAAAAGACCTACATCACGTTGAGCTCGTTTTTCCCCCCCGGTCTCGCCATAGACCACCTTCTTGGCTGGCCGTGCCCTTGATGGGCCTGGGTGATAACCATGTCGACCATGAATGAAAAGACGCTAACATGGACGAACGCCCACGCTTTGGGATTCAAAAAACTTTCGGTGCAAATGGAAATCCCTGAGAGGGGTTTGGTCTCCTTTGCTTCGTTGGGTTGCAGCCCAATGCTTGGGGTTAGACACGTCCCCCAACCTCGGGACTGCTTGGGCGGTGGTGGTTGGCGGCGGTGGTGGGCGGTTGTGGGGCGGGCTGAATTGGGGGTTTTTGACCACTTCTGCCCGGCCCTGGTTGCCCCCTTCGGGACCAAAAGCCCCACCTCAGCAAAAGATCCCGTCGAACCCCAGGCTTCTCATTGAACCTTTCACACCCCTTTTACCACCCACGGAAGCTGAGAGGGGTTTTGGAACCGGAAATCAAAGCTGATCACCTTTCACGGCCATCAAAAGTTGCGCAAATTGGGGAAAACAAAAGGTCAGCTCAGGTCAACTCGCTTTGAGGCAAGTGGCCATGGGGCATAACCTATGGCTCCATTTTGGGGTGGATGAACATCCATTTACCACCTGTGTTGATGTTCACCAAGGGTACAGGGTTTTGACCCACAGCCAAGTGAGTGAAAATCCGACGTCGAAGGGAGCCGCAGCCTCCCGGAGGTCCTCCTCGAGACGCCGCCGGAGCCTGGCGCTTGCAGCTGGCGTGGGATTTGGTCCACCGGATCTCCAACTGCGCCTGCCTTCTTCGGACCTAAAGTTGTTTTGACCTTCCACAAAAGAGTGGACACCGAGAGCCGGCACGTTTGCGCTCGCCGATATGTATATATATAGAGATAGATAGATAGATATAGATATAGATATAGATATAGATATAGATATAGATATAGATATAGATATAGATATAGATATAGATATAGATATAGATATAGATCTATAGATATAGATATAGATATAGATATAGATATAGATATAGATATAGATATACGGTCTTCAAGTTTGATAGGCGCTGGTTGACATCATTTAGAGTTATAGGGGGAATGTATGTCCAGCAACCACTCTTGAAGGGGTCCCATTTGAAATTCAGACAGGCGGAGCTGAAAGGTGTTTCCCAAACCATGTAACCCGCATGGAACTCGCTAGGCAGACCTGAGGCGCCTAAGTGTGCCTGCCCAGCATTCCCCGCGTGGGAACTCCGACCGACACATGGTTTTGCACGCTTCGATCTGCGTGCTACCAGAAGCAAACCTGCATGGATCTCCATGTTGAGTCGTTACAGCTCGGCAAGTTGCAAGCCGTGGCAAAGCAAGCCCCAATGGAACTCCGCACGCATGCCTTTTTGTTTGTCCTTAGCGTAGCTTCCGCAACACAAATTGGCACGTGCCAGGTTTAAGACTACTGGAGCTCCAACAAGAAAACGCGCCTCAGAGCGATGATGATATGTGATCTCTGTTGAGCAAACTCCAGCGGAACATCGTACATGCAAACCTAACTCAAACATTCAGCACGCCACAAGGCTTCCCTGTAGCCATATGTCCTCATCGTGCGGGGTTCCTATTCTTGCAGATGGGAAAGATTAAAGGGGCAATGAAAGGTTCACCTGGATCAGACTAGACTTACAGGAGGAAACAAATGCAAAGGTCAGTTCAGTGCAACCTCTTTTGGTTGCCGAGTGACGGTGGCATTTGAGTCGCTAAATCTTGTTTCTGACTTCGAGGCCATGGGCTCCCATCCAGTTCCTTCAGCCAATTCCGAGGCGGGACACGAAGCCCCGGTTTTGGTTGGGTCCTCCTGGACACGATGTGAAATTGGATAAACTGAATCCCACTTGACCCAGCCTGCTTCCCAAAATCAAGAAAAGCCTTACAAAGCAAAACCCGGTTGAACCTGAAGGGTCTGCAGAAGAACCACCTCCCCAAAATGGGCCATGTGTTCCAACACGTTTTTCCACCTCTTGTTGCTGAAACAAGCTTCGTGTGACTCGTTTAAGGAATCAGGGGCTTAAGCTCCGCCTTTGAAAGTCTTGTGGCGAGAGCGCGTGATGCTGGAGGTCCTGCGGCCAAAGGTTGCGATTTTTGTGTTACGGCCAGACACGATTCGACCCCAGCTCAAAAGGGAAACCAAAAAAAAAGTGTGGTGGTAACAATTTGTTGGTCACCAATTCGGCTTTATTTGCTTCAACCGCTTGGTGGCAGCCTTGTCCTACACGGGTTAAATCGGCCATGTTCGGCACAAAACACATCTCGAGCCTGCAAGCCATCGGCTTGCAACCAAGTTTGCGTCTTCGGGCCGGATAAAGGAAACAAAAGAAGAACGTAAAACCCGGCAGTTGAGATTGGCAAGTCAGCGGGGTTCATCCATCCCAACTCAACTGGCGTGGATTTGGTCCACTGCGGCAATGGTCTGATAGCATCGGCAAGGCTCTGCAGGTCGAGCTTCCACACTTGTCAGATGATTCACTCACATGGCAATGGGAAGTACGGGACATCCCTGCAGATTGAGCATGCTTACGTCGGGGGGAGGGGAACACAATCTCTTGGTGGTGTCCTTTTTGGGAAATCAATTGCCCCTTTCAAATCGAATCCAGAAACATGTGATGCTTCTTTGCAACGTTCCTGAAGACTACCTGAAGATGCAAAACCAAGAGTTCTAAAAGGCACAAGGAAGCATACCAAGTGAAGTTGCACTACCTTCCAACCGGTTCACTCGTGGACGAATGTCATCGGACCGACTCGACAAGTTCATCTCATGTCCTGGGAGCCTAGCAAGTGCCGTCCTTCAAGTAACGGAACGACCTCCAGGTAAGGGCCACATGGCTGTGGGTCAAAACCAATGGTACCATTGTGGGTAGGTGAATTCACCACCCATTTTAGTCTATTAGTGGGGATTGGGATGTTCACTGCGGGTACGGGATTCTGACCATGGCCACACAGCCCTTACAGAAGGCGGACCTAGTCGCACCTATTGAGACCCTGGCCAGCAGAACTGCTGTGACTTCTATGAACTTCTATCTATACCCGGTGGTTGATTTCTTTTGGCTTCCTCTACCAATGGGTAGGAGTGGAACTAAACAAAAATGGATACTTGGCCCATGGGGAAATGAGAGAGATTCCCGAAATGTGCTTGGGGAATGTAGTGAGTTGATCAAAAGACTACTGAGCCGTTTGAATCCAACATTGACAGCTGGAATCCCAAACACACTGTTTTAAAAGGGTTCTTCAGGGAAGGGTGCCGAAAAGGATGAGACACCCAAAACGGTTGGTTTCCTTTTGTTTCCCTTCAGACGAACCCCAAAAAGGGTACCGTCAAAAAAGGCATAGCCAAATGTGTGTGTATATATATATATATATATTTATTTATCTTTTTTATTATTTTATTCATATATTCATGTATTTATATGTACATATACACCCTATGCAACAAGAGGGCTTGGGGCTTGTCGGCAAAAACCTGCTCGGCTCCTCGCATTCCCGGCACTTGGCTCGAAGCTGTTCCCTGCCAACCGCGTCATGCAGGTCTGAGAGTGTTGTTCACAGGTGGTCTTTTGGAGAAATAGGTAGCCCTGGTAAATGCGGCATAAAACCGATTCAAACCAGTGGAACCCATCTATTTCTAACCAAACCTAAAAAGGACACCTATGGTGCTGTTCCGAAATCCCTGGCACGCCGAACATGTGGGATGACCGCAGAGTCAGCACTGAGTTGCTCTGAAATCCGAGTAGAAAAATGGTTCCTGAAAAGAGAAAACGGACACCTAACCAATTTCATGTAGGCTCGGAGCAACACTATTGAATGTTCACTTCGGATGAATTCGGGGGACCCTACTCAGGAAAGGAACTGATCTATATATTTTTTAGGGCTCCCTCCGGATTGTTCCCGTGCTGATATATAAGGCAATGGGCAAAAGCAAATTAGAGAGGCGCTCTATCTGTGTGGAGTTTAGAGCAGTTCCCCCATGTCTCTCATTCGACGCTCAACGACTTTGGCTGAACCTCAAATGTGTGGGGCTTGCTCGTCTTGACTGGCCTCAGCTATGAGAACCAAAACAGTACTGTATCAATCAAGCTGCCAGGAGAGCCATCGCTAGCCCTCACCTGCAGGGTCCCAGCTGGAAGTATCCTGAGATGCACAGATCCAAAAGAGGTGGTGCAGAGTAATCTTTCAAAGGTCCCGAAAAGAGTTTGCAGAGACCCGCCAGGACAGCCAATACACCCTCCTTGTGCAAACATTTGCAGGATCCTGAAAGACATTGTTCAGGCAAGAAATAGTGCACGGTGCAAGAAGATCTCCGATTGGCGAAAAATAGCACCGAGATCCGGACATCGTGCAAATCCGTCTAAGACTACATTGACTACCCCCAAACCACTACCCCCACAACCAATGGATATATAAAGTCATAGAATCCGGAAACAAGCACAAACATCTTACGCAAATGAGACACCCATCGCTGCAAGAGCTTCCTGCGTAGAAGGTGTGCACTAATGTTAACCCCGGATTAATAAACCCTGGTTGAGTAATAGGGGGGGTGTCCCCTTTTAGTGGGGATTCATCACTTTTGGGAGGGAACACCCCCCTAATAATGGGACGGGTTTATTAATCCTGGGTCAACATTATCTCGTTTGGAGCTGCGGGAGATCCTTTGGAACCCCCAGTGGGTCCAAGCCATCATGTTGCCGAGAACAAATGTTAGGGGGCCGCTGAATCACACCTACAGTACATGGGAATCCGAGGAGCCCAGTTACTTCGCCCATTCGTCCAAGAAAACGAAAGGGTCCACTTACAGGTTCCGAGAAATGTGCAGGCGTGCACATTTCTTCCTCTTGCAACCTTCAAAAGTCACTTGTTTTCGGGAAGGCTTTGCTGAGCACACAGCGTGCGCATTTGCCTGATTTCCCTGGTTTGACAGAGCTCGGGTGTTGAGTCCAAAAGCCCTGTACATTGGGTCCACTTTGGCAGCCCGCAGCTTGAAGGGTACAAAAAATGTTGTGTCTAAAGGTTTGCTGCGCGGGTGCGCGTATCACTTGGCTTGCGTGGGCTCACCTGGTTGGGGATGCAGCCTCGAGGTATGCCAGTGACGGGTGCGTTTATCACTTGGCATGCGCGCGCGTTCGCTGGGTTGTGGGTTCGGTCTGAAGGCATGCCCCGTGGCCGGAAAAGAAAACATGCTTTGAAGAATGCAAAGTCTAGGAAGTCATGGAGTAAGAACAGGACCGTTACCCACACCTCCATGGCCATGGACAAAATCTGGGCTCCGTTGTTCTACTTGAAAATCTCAAGTCCCCTCCCACAAAGAACGCAGAAAAACGGGCCCCGCCGGTTTGGGACACAGCGGGCAAAGCCATTGAATCAAAACAACCTTCGCCTTCGCTCAGTAAGAATTGGACCCAAGAAAGGAGCCTTCATCCCTACCTTCGTGCACGGGCACTTTGGGCGACGCAACCCCCCGCAGCGTGACGAGCTTGAGCCATTTGCCCGGCCTTAGCCGCGCTCCTTCGGACTGCATGCGGCGGCTGCTGTCGTCCTGCTCAGCCTAGCACCGGCGAACTGTGCTCAAAAGGGAAATCGGTTTTGTGAAAAAATGGACCCTGCTTGTCAGTTGTTCTTGTGAAACTATCCACAAAGGGGTCCACCGTTTTGAGAACCCCCCCCCCTTGTAGTCCGCCTTTTGATTTCATTTGTCGCTGGCACTTGTCTTCTTACAAACCCTTGCAGTGAAACAAAAATAAATTGCACAGATTCCATGCACTCGCCAAGCCCTGGTGGTTGCTCCCGGTTTCTTAGCCCCGGATGCAAAGACCTTCAGACCCGCCTGATCCTGGCGCAGGCGCCGCTTCAGGGCGTCGCGCTCCTCTTGGAGCCTGCGGTACCTCGCGAGGTAAGGCGCGGCCGGAAGAAAGCTCGCCGGGCCGGAAAGGCCCGGAGGGTCAACAATAGGCACCCAAAATGAAGCCATGGTAAATGGAACCAAGGACAAAAACTTGCGGTTTTCTGGTGACTCCATTTAGACCCACAGCCAAAAGGGCTCGGCTTAAGAACCAAGACGGGAAATATGGGGTCCCGTTTGGACCGAATTGGTGGGAACACGGACATGTGGTGTTTGCACCGGGCTTGTTGGTGTGTCCTTTTTACCAATGGGAAATGGACATCTGGCGTTTGCAAAGGTGCTTTGTTCTTAGGACCCTCTAGTAGCATATTCCACACCGCTCTGTTTGGCTGAAACACCCACCCCCCAGAAATGTGTTGCTTGGATCCCCCCCCCCAAAAAAAAAGCTCGCCCAACCTTTGTCGTCCAACTGAGTCCAACTGATGGTCCGGCTGACTTGGGCTTGCCAAACCTTCCAAACACCCGGTTGAACTGGGTGTGCCTTTTTTGGTGGGTACCCTTTTTGGTTGCTTTAAAGTGAAAAAGAAAGGACCAAACCTTGTCAGGGTTCCCAACGCACACAACTCAGCTGCTGGTGAAAAGTCCACGCTTTACCCTGTGAGATGTCCGAAAGCACGGGTCAATTGAGGCTGACTTGGGATATCCTTCACCACCGTTTAACAAGAACTTCTGCACGGTGCTGCTTGGAGAAACTGGTGCTTTCTGGAAACTCCCCCTCCCTCTGCCTTTTTGCCGAATGCTAGTGTAACAAGCACGCCCCTGTTTTCCTCTAAAAAACTCGAGCAATCCTGGGGAGAAAAATGGTCCAGCACGGCCCAGGTTCCATGGCAACGTGGATGGAAAGGTCCTGTTCGGCCCACAAAAATGGAATCAGGTTGTAGGGCACTAAACCAAAAAAGGCGGTCATGACATGGCAAACGTGTGTGCGTTTGTGGTTTTAGTGTCCCTATTATTCCTCGCCCGCATTGGCCAAACCACGTTTCCCCTCTTGTCGGGGGGGGGGGGAAAACGAATCCCCAGGGGCGCAGCTCTTGCAGAGACTCGTGCAGCTGCTTCAGTGTGATGTTGTCATCCTACAGAGACCCAGAGCTGTGGATTTCCATCGGCGAGAAAAAAAAAACACGTCGCGCGGTTTCTGACGAGAAACCCATGCCTTGCCCAGTATTTGGTTGGACTCCCGTGTTGTTGGCACTTTGACTTGGGAGGGAAACCCAGCCCCCAAAAAAGGACAACAGGGTGCCACTGGAGAGGCTGATGGATGTTCAACCTATTCAGCAAAGTAAACACGCCCACTACTTGCGTGGATATTGAACTTCCCAGAACAAATATTGTAACTAGGGTGTTAGGGGTACCAACCCTTGATGCCCCCCTTATCACCAGGGCTGTGACCGAGATGGGGGCTGATCCAAAAGAAAGCAAAAAGGAGCTTGGTGATAGAAGACAAGTCCCTTTCATCAAGTGTAGCCAGCCTGAATCAGGTAGGCTCAATAAACACTTTGGCCACTTTTGAGGATCTGGCAACATTGGAGCCTTGAAAATCCTCCTTGTCTTTCAAATCAACATTGTGCTAACAACAGGCTTGGAAAATTTGGCTGCAAGTGCGCGCCCCTTTGTCTCAACTGAAACAATAACCTGGGGGTGAAACTCACGGGATCTCCACCTGCCATTTCTCTGCCAATCCTGACGTTTGCTCCCTTGAAGCCAAAGAGAGCCAGATTGTTCTTCAATTGCTCGGAGCAAGCCTCTGGTCAAGGCAGCTCTTTTGGAGCCTGTACTGTTCTCAGGCTCCTTTTGCAGGGGCGCCTAAGGCACCCAAGCAAATATGTCGACTTGGAGTTTGAAAGGCTCAAACCCTGCAATGATCGGATTTCTCAGGCCATGTCAGAATGGAACGCAAACTCTCCCTCCCTGAAAACACCACCCACACATCTTGGCAAATCAAAGGTGATCGGCAACACCTCCAGAAACTGGGCTGCTCAAAAAAAAAGGCGTGATTAGGGGGAAAACGAATCAAGACATAAGCCGAACTGGTTACCCGTTACCCGCCCCAATGTCCAGAGGCATGGCAGTCAGAAACCGGCCGTTTCCACGATACCATTCAGGCTTGTTCCAAAGAGTTGAGCTGAGACCAAATAAGGCTGACCAGTACCTTGCGGGGTCTTCTCGAGAAAGGACACGGTCTGCAAAACCGTTTGGGAATTCCATCCCCTGTGATTGCCTTGTTGTTTTTCAACAGATTCCCAAGGTATCACAGAAAGTGTCAACCTAAAACTCTGTTTGTCGGGGTTTGCAACTAGATGTCTCCCATGAGCTTCTGATGCAACGTTGGTGACCAGCGAGGCCCATCCCGAGCCGCAAATTCTACTCCGGATTGGCACCCCACACCCCACTCCCCCACTCCTCCTCCCCCCACTAGTTTAAGCGTTTGCAGAGCTCGCCTTAGAACTTCACACAAACGCATGGTGGTTTTCTCTCAGCGCCTGCGGCTAACTTTTTTTGCCCCCCTTCTTCGTCCGGTCGCGGGAGCAAGCAACGCGACCTATACCCAGTTGGGTGAGCCCCCTGTTTTGGACACAGACCCATAGGTTGTCCACAAAGCGGGTCTCTGCGGAGCTTTTGACACAGCCAAAGCGAAAACTGCCCCATGTGGAGGGCTCACACCTTCATGATGCCTTCTAAAGCGTGGCTCACTTTGTACCACCCCAAAAATCAAGAAGCTGCCAGTCATGGCCATTTGTCTGTAATATCACCTCAAGACATGTGTCATTCAAGAGGAGATGAGAGACCTGGGTGATTCTTCCAAGCCTTGGAGCTATGTTTCTTGACTGGACCAGAAGCTGCACACGAGCAGAGCTTGCTTGGAGAAACTTGAAAGAAGGCGCCTCAAGAGCATTGCCTGCAAAATGCAAGAAGGCCAATAAAAGTGTTCCGTGGAAGTGTCAATTCTGCGCCACAGATACGAATACAAATAAGGCCTTGCAAGGGTTGTTGATTCACGTTTTGCAAACAGAAAACGATATGTTGCTGACTGGAGAAACTGTCACTCGCCACAAAGGTGAAAGGGATGTTGGGTGAAACCAAAGGGAAACTGAGTTTCCAGCTGGTTCGGTCTGCGTTGAGTCAGAGCGACGAGACTTGGACCCGGTCTGATGCAAATGGACTACACAAATGGACTACACAAATGGACTACACCAGGGCTCACCCAAATGTGGACGCTTCACCCCAGGTCGAGGGAACTTTCAGGAGCTCGAAACAGCAAACATGCAAAAAGGCCAAAACTGGGGAGACTGGGTCGCATGAGCAGGTATGATGCATGCCCTAAATATTGAAAGTGAAGTAACACCACAAAATGTCATCAGAGAACGTTGCCCCAACAATTCTTCCCCTAGTTGCAATATACGTAGTTGCTTTTTTAGGGGGCCGCTTTCTGCCCTGCAGAAATCCTGCATTCCCCAAAGAGAAAAGAGGCTCCTGAAAACTCCCGCATCCTCCGGAACTGCTCAACTATGCATTCGCACGCGAATTCGTGTCACTGGCTGGAGCCCTGAGCCACGGTGAATCACTTGCTTTAAAGTGAATGGAGCAGGACCAAGAAAACTCGGTCCGATCCATCTAGTCGAACTATCACTATGCAATCACAACTCGCCAACCTATAAGGAAACCGTGTCATGGCAGGAACGTATGGGTAAGGTCTCAAGCCCCCTAGTGAGATGGCTAAGATTGCGTAAACAATTTGCATCGTCAATATGAGGTTCAGGACATGGAGGGACGAGTCACACAACGTCTATCATGTTAGTGGTCCATGATCATCACCAACCCCTTGTCCAATCCACATTGTGAGGGTTTGGAGCCTTAGCCAAAAACTCTGCAGATGGACAATGTGCACTTCGCCAAGTTCTGGATGAAATCCAATGGGCGGATTTGTCCAGCGCATAAGCAGGAATCTGCCGAACTAGGACCCAGCCAATCGGTTGAAAGGAACCCCTGCAAGTTGGTTTGAAGGGAAGCCAAACAAAAAACCATTGGATTGTATGTAATTTGTATTCATCTGGTTTATCAATGTTATTTCTGTGTTGTTGTGTTGTTGTTTTTTGTCTTCGACGTTTGCTCTACTTGTTTTATGCTATTTGACTTGTTACTTTTTAACTATACTTATTTATTTGCGTATGTCTGTATTTCCTCGGCGCTGAAACTGCTTTGCGTGAAAAAGGTTGCGCAGCGTGGGGCAAGCGGAGGGGTTCTCGCCGGTTGTGGGTTAGGACTTGGGGTTGGGTTGGTCTGTGCTTTGTTTGCTTGCTTGCTCGCTTTGCGCTCGCTTCGCTAGGCGCATCTGCTGTGCTTCGCTGGGGTTGGGCGGCATCCTCTTGTTGGTGGGCTAGTACCTGTTAAATCCTTCCCGAAACCTTGTTAACCCTTTCGCATATAGCACTTAAAAAGACCACAGATGTCGGCTCCGCCGCTGTTATGGCGGGATAGAGTTGCCGGAGGCAAAAGCTTGAGCCAAACACCGCATTGGGCGAAGGCAAATGTGTACATGTCACGATAAAAGTGCATGACCCCACAAACACCCCCCTCGCCTGTAGCGAACGAAAAGAGGGAAAGGAGTTTCGGCCATAGTTGGAATTGAAAAGAAATAAACAGCACAAAAGCAGAGGCAAGGCAGTCTCCTTGGAGAAGGTCTGAACCTCCGATCTAGCTGGAGATGGTTCCTATCAAGAAGATGCAGCGGCGACGGCTTACTCAGCCCTGAACCGCTGACTGAGACGTACTGCTGATTGCTGCTCGCGGTACTCCCGCTGAAGCTACTCGGCGCACTCGCGCCTAGACAGTGCGTGCGTGCGACCATGACCGAATCGGCCTGCGCACCCCTTTTCGCTGCATGTAGGTTTACCCACCTGCAGAGAGTTCGAAACAAAATCCCAATGGTTGCTGGCATTTTGGGTTGCGTAATTTCACACGTTCATTTTGCATGCGCTCCTAGTCGGACTTGAAACGTTGTTCCTTTGGTTCTTGTTTGCTCTCTGGTCGATTTTGTTGCCGGCGCGCGTCCGCGAGCCCTGGTAACCTAATCCCGCGTCAGGGTGTTAGCGCTTGCCGCGAGGGGCACCCAACTACTACACGCGTAGGCTTAAGTTGGCGAGTTGGCGAAGGAAGAAGTGAGTCATAGATAGACATCACGTGACATCCGATTAGGGTTGCAGTCATGGGCATTTACCAACTTCTCGTAGCGGAGGAGGAGCCGAGATATTCATCTCACTTGTCAGCGCCAAATTCTTGCGCATTCTGCTGTTGTCCGCCAGCACCCATGTGTGCGAAGTACGGGCTGTGCGTGGGGTGGTTGGAAACGGGAGGCCACCAGACCAGGCGCACGCGAGCGCCATGACCCCTGTGTAGGCAGTGACACCTGACCGCCTTGGACCCCGCTGGGCCTCTTGTTGGCGTCACCGCCCCCCGGGGGTCATGGCCGGATTCGCTCCGCGCGGCAATGAACCGATCCCAGAGCGCAAGCATCCATCTCCGCATAAGTGTACGCTCGGCATCGTGAGCGTTGCAGCTCCCTCTACCACGCGCAGGCACAGTTGCAAGGTTGTATTCTCATCGAAAGATGGGCCTTCCTTCTTGAAATCAAGGGCGCGTTGATCCATCTGGGCAAGAGCCATTGCCAGGTCACGTGATGGCACACAAGTGACAATGCGAGCAACACAGATGGTCCAAAGGAGAACCATAGTTGGACACCCGCCGCGGTGGTGGTGTTGGTGTTGGTGTTGGTGTTGGTGGTGTTGGTGTTGGTGTTGGTGTTGGTGTTGGTGTTGGTGTTGGTGGTGGTGGTGGTGGTGGTGGTGGTGGTGGTGGTGGTGGTGGTGGTGGTGGTGGTGGTGGTGGTGGTGGTGGTGTTGGTGTTGGTGTTGGTGTTGGTGTTGTTGGTGGTGGTGGTGGTGGTGGTGGTGGTGGTGGTGGTGGTGGTGGTGGTGTTGGTGGTGGTGGTGGTGTTGGTGGTGGTGGTGGTGTTGGTGGTGGTGGTGGTGTTGGTGGTGGTGGTGGTGTTGGTTGTGGTGGTGGTGTTGGTGGTGGTGGTGGTGTTGGTGGTTGGTGGTGGTGGTGGTGGTGGTGTTGGTGGTGGTGGTGGTGTTGGTGGTGGTGGTGGTGTTGGTGGTATGAGCAAGCGTCGTTTAGGAAGTCTGAGGATGGAGGAGAACGATTTACATCCCGGATGCGTGCCAAACTGCTGTGGATAGTCGACTACTCGTGTGTGGCAACGTGCTTCGCCACCCAGACATCGCGTCTCGCCTTACGGCGAGGTGAGTGTCGGTTTGCGCTGTACGTTCAGCCTCCTGGGACGCTGCAGTGAGCACTTGTCCATCGGGTCGGTCGGGTCGCTTTACACACCTGGTTTTTCAGGCTAGAACGCACGCCATTCTCAATTCCTGATTTTGATGAGTTCGCGCTTTGCCGAGTTCATGCGGTGGCATAAGTCTGAGATGCTACTACCAGAGCCATGGGCTTTGTGCTGGACGATGTTCATCAATTGCGGGAAAGATGAGGTATCACACCGGGTTTGCCAGAACAATTAGTTCTACGGCCCTCGGAGCGATTAGCCCCTGGCGTATGTAGCACGGGACCTCTTGGATGACAACGCTTGGGGAAAGGTTGGTTTTGACAGATAGTCGGGCACGGTAAAATTCGATTGGCCAGTGATCCGGTTTTCCAGAATCTCGACCTGACCGAATCCACTCATGGAGACGGCCCTGTGGAATGGGGCTCGCGGTGCCCCATCCCAGTCCCAAGAGGCAAAGCGGTGCTCCCAGCTGGCACAAACAAGAACCAAAAGGGTTGCCAGTTGACAAACAGAAGAACAAGCCCAGCAGGGCAGAAAGCACAGCCAGCGCAACCCCGAGTCCTGACCCACAACCGGCGAGAACCCCTCCGCTTACCCCACGCTGCGCAACCTTGGTCACGCAGAGCAGTTTCAGCGCCGAAGTCGGCTCCGGAGGCAAAAGCTTGAGCCAAACATCGCGTTGGGTGAAGGCAAATGTGTACATGTCATGACACAAGTGCATGATCCTAAAAACGCGATTCTCATTAGTTGTCATTGTTTTATTCATCATCTATTTATTTGGGGGCGGGGGGGGGGGGGTCAAATGGGGTGTCCCGAAAATGGCCCGCTTCTTAGAGGGAGTATCAACAAGAGTCCCGAACACCCAGTCAGATCTGCCAGGTGGTTTTCTGCCTGTGTCCCCGCTAAGGCAGAACCCTAAAATGGTGCCCGCACCGGTGCCTGCGGCTGCCAAAGTGCCTTCCGTACCCGCAGCTCCTGGCAGAGCGTTCCCTCCCTCAACCGATTCCATGGATACCGCTCCCACGTTCGGAGCCAAGTGAGTTCGGTTCCCGCTTTTTAGAAATCGGACCCCTCCAAGTTGGCGCAACGGTATTCCAAGAAGACAGACCCAACCTCCAAAGACAGACCCAAGTTTCCCACGCAGGCATCGCCTGGAGTATCGTCGTGCGGAATTTGGTCTGCGCTGCAAGCTGAACCGCAGCCCTTAAAGGGACAACGGTAATCCCCACATTTCAGCGGGGGCCCGGAGGGGCTTTGTTTCTAGATGGCACAGTTCCCGGTTGTGGGTAAAGCCCAAATATCAATGTGGGGCAAAGTGGATGTCTAGAACAACATGAGGGAATTGTGACATCTGCGTTTACCCAACTGTAATTCGAAACGACAGGACTGCCACCAATTCAAAGCCACAAACTTGGAAGACACATCTATTTTGGGCCAAAGTACGCTTCATCCAATGAAAACAAACATGCTACCCAACAACCATGGCAAAAAAGAGGCTTGGGCAAACTTGTATAATTCGCAAATCAATTGGCATAAGGAATCCCCTAGCAAGCTTTATGGGTAAACTCGCTTATTTTGCACCCGGATCGGTGTCTTTGTTACAACCCAGAAACATGAAGCGCACCGGGTAGAGAGCATGGCTCGCTTCACCCCTGTCTGTGGGATCTAAAGTCCCAAGTTGGCCAAGAGTGGCCCTTTGTGAACCTGGGCCAACTCTGAAGGGAGCACAAGCCATGTTTCCACTTAGGAGCTGGAGACATCATCCTGGCGTGATTCTGAGCACGGCACCTTTGGCATGACATGAAGCCGAAAGGGAAACCAGAACGGCACCGCCAGTTTCACAGTATTCGCAAACAACTGGGAACGCATGGTGTGATCTAAGTCTAGGAAGACCCCTTTTGGTTGGTTTTCAGAGTTTCAAGCCAAAAGACTCGCCCGGCCTCCTCGAGCCCTCGGACCATCTTCTCCAACGCCTTCCGCGCGTGCACGGATCTACTGAACGTATGCTCCCCACTAACACGGAACCTGACTGGAGCTCATGAATGACTACTTTCCACCAAAAAGGATCGAGCAAAAACCCATGTTAGGGAGGGTATGTGGTTAAACTGAAAATTCGGCCTTGCCAACAACAGCCCCTTTTTCCTTTGGCAAACCTCTCCTCATCTGTGAGCAATTCCCATGGCAAGCAATCCCCGTGGGGGCGCCCAGTTCGATCTCTTAGTTGATCCCTTTCGCAGAGGTCAACTTTTCGTGGGACATGGCGAGGCTGGAGAAAGCTACCCTTTCTTGATCTGGCCAAGCACCCCGTTGGGGAAATCACGGGGTTTCGGGGCAAATGAGCAGATTCACTGGGGTTCGTTGACTTCCGTAATATGTAAAAAGGCACCTCGCGCTGGTCAGGGCTTGGTGGTTCGGTGCTTCGGGGGTGGTTTGGGGGTGGTTTCGGAGTGGTTTGGGGTTGTGGAGTGCTCTGGCGGAGATGGCCGGTGTTTGGGCGTTAGAGGAGGGAACTCGCAAGGCAACCCTGACTGAACTTGTCCCTGCCGGATGCAAGCCAACACGGACAAGTACACAACAAACACAAAGCACAATCACACATCAAATACCAAGCACATACCGCGCGAGAACACAAAACGGGTTTTCCGTTTCCGTTGTTTCCCGCGATTTCTCCCCCGTTTTTTCGCGTGTTGTTTTTTTCTCCCCCCCCCGGTTCCGCGCCGTGTCCACGGTGTAGGCCCCCCCGAAGGGCTTCCAAAGCTCGTAGATCACCTGCAGCGTCATGACCTGAGTCGGGCTCTTGTGGGGGGATTTCTGGATGGCAAATCCCTGGAAAGGTTTCCCCGGAGTTGACTGGATGGCAATCCATGGGTTGTTGTGGGATTTCTGGATGGCTAACACCCGTGGAAAGCAGCGAAACCCATGTCGATAAAAGTGATTCAAACCGAATTAGAAAGGACAGCTGCGACATCCTGTGACTCACTCGTGGGACTGTTCGTCTGTCAAAGGAAACCGAAAAAACAACCAGTCCGGTTTTTGGGAGGGTCGCTTTTCCGTTCTTAGTATGCATTGTTTTCCGCTGGAATCGATAAGTTCCCGCTAGTGAGAACCCTGCCTGGTTGGTTGCCAAGCTCAGATCTTCTGGTTGCGTCCACGGCGGGGGGCCGCGGTATTTCCTTGCCAACACGTGCGAAATACATAACATGGTTTTGAAGCTCAATATGGGGGGGGTTGTTGGTGGACACCATTCAGGTTGCGAGCCATGTCCACCAACCACTTGTGAAGAGGTCCCCTATTAAAACTCATCGACGTATCGTCGGAGATTGCTTGACTAGTGAGAAGCATGATTTTGGTAAGTTGGGCTCTGGGGCACTTTCTCCGATTGGGCTACGCGCGTAAAGCACGCGCCGAAGAACACACGTTGGCTGTTCACCCAGAAAGCGTGAGAGAAACTGAGAGGCTTCGGCAAGGCGACGAACATTCCCAATCCTGAATCGCGCGAGCCCAAACAAAGAAGAATGCAAAGCGCTGTGGTTCATGGTCGCAGTGATACGGTGGGTGGACAGAATCCTGCACCACCATCTCAGCATTGGGTTGCACACCCTCGCGCTCCCTTTTTAATTTTGGGAGCTGAAAACACGCAGAAGGAAAAGAAGTTGAATGGACGAAATCCTGCACCACCTTTACAGCCCATCAAAGCAACATTGAATATGGGGAGCGGGGGGTCCTTCTACACCCTTGTTTAACTTGTTGATTTAAGCGGTGCAGGATTTCGTCCACCCACAGTAGGTGCCTGGAA